TAAAATGACCAACAAAAATGAAAGCACTCTTAATCTTATCGCATGGAATGCGAATGGATTAAAACCCGCTAAACTCTTAGACTTTAGTGAAAAAATGGCAAAATTACGTGTAGATATAGCATTGTTCTCTGAAACCCATTTTGCTAGGGAATCTAGAGGATACTTGAAAGGATATAGATTTTATAATTCACGACATCCTTCTAATAACGCTAGGGGGGAGCCTCTATTGCTATCAGGGAAAACATTAAACACTCCGTTCTTGAAATTGTAGAAGAAGAACATTTCCAAGCGGTGATTATTCAAATTGAGTAATCGCTGGGGCATTTAATGTCAGCACTTTATATGCTCCACCGCGTCATCGATGCTCATAGTTGACGATTATTCTGGTCTACTTGATAAATTTGGTCCTCGCTTCCTTATCGGGGGGGGGGGGACTTCAACTGTAAAAACGTCAGATGGAGTTCAAGATTAACTAACCCGAAAGGTGTTAATCTTGAAACTGCAGTCAATCTTATCGGAGGTGATTTTATCTCTCCGGGTAAACCCACCTTCTATCCAGGTAATCCATTGAAAGAGCCAAACGTAATTGATTTTTTCATCTTCAATAATCTCAATCTCAATAACAAAACTTCTTGCAATGTGTTAGAGGGAAAAAAAGATCATGTGCCGGTTTTCTTATCTATACAGGGTGATCCAAAAGTCCCTTCCACCCCCTCTAACTTTTTACCTAATTGAGGTAAAGATTTGAAACTTGGGGGATATTCCTGGGTCAAAGGGAGCTTCTTTTTGGCCCCCCTAAAATTTTCAGGGGGGCCCCCCTTGGGGGGGCAACGGCCCCCAACTTTAAATTTTCAAATGGAAAGACCCCCTTTGAGATAGCTCGTTCGAAAGAGCATAAAAAAAGAAAACTTTTCGCGCAAACCCGAATTCAATATCTCAAACTGTCTCAAAATGGCGGCCGGTTAAAGTTCAAAATGGCCGAATATTCACACCGGTTATTTGTTGATGGAGTTGCGCTAAAATCGGCATGTAGGGGTATTTTGACACGAAAAAAACGAATTTGACGTTAGATTTTCAAAAAAACCAACATTTCCAAAATGGCCGCCGGTTAAAGTTTAAAATGGCCGAAAATTTTCACTTTGGGTTTTTCCTGATGGATTTGCCTAAAACTTGGAATTTGAGAGTATATTGGCATAAGATAAACAAATTTGAACTTAGATTTATAAAAAAATAAATTTTTGGTCATTTTGAACTTTAACCGGCGGCCATTTTGGAAATTTTGGTTTTTTTTGAAAATCTAACGTCAAATTCGTTTTTTTCGTGTCAAAATTCCCCAACATGCCGATTTTCGCGCAAATCCATCAACAAATAACCGGTGTGAATTTTCGGCCATTTTGAACTTTAACCGGCCGCCATTTTGAAACAGTTTGAGATATTGAATTCGGGTTTGCGCGAAAAGTTTTCTTTTTTTATGCTCTTTCGAACGAGCTATCACAAAGGGGGTCTTCCCATTTGAAAATTTAAAGTTAGGGGCCGTTGCCCCCCCAAGGAGGGCCCCCCTGAAAATTTTAGGGGGGCCAAAAAGTAGCTCCCTTTGACCTAGGAATATCCCCCAAGTTTCAAATCTTTACCTCAATTAGGTAAAAAGTTAGAGGGGGTGGAAGGGACTTTTGGATCACCCTGTATTTGCTACTCCAGTATTAGTTAAACGCCCACCCTGTCTAATTTCTACTCGACTGAAAAAAATTTCGAGAATTATTAACTTCCCGTATTAATAACTCGACTTCAATAAACGACTGCTCCACACTTGATAAGGAGGCAGAGTCATTAATTTCGAACATCCAAGAAGCTGCAAAAGCAAGCACGCCGGTTGCTAGAACTTTTAATAATTTTCATTATAAATGCACTCTTCCAAAGGAAATACTCAGCCTTATTGACCGCAAAAACAAAGCGGGAAGGAGGAGAAGGATTACTCACCATAAATCTGATAAAAATCTCTACAATAAACTAAACAAGGCAGTGGAGAAACGTATTAATGAATTTCGTAATGAAAAATTTGTAGCTAATCTCAGCTCAAACGAAGCTAATGATTACACCCTTTGTAAAATGACAAAATCCCTAAAACCTCCTTTCCTAGCTAGCTTCCCAATTAGAAAACCGGACGGTGAATGGGCAAATAATAGCCAGGGAAAAGCCCATACCATTGCCGATCACCTTGAAAAAGTATTTCAATCTAACCCCTGCGAATCTCCAGAGAATGAATGCGAACTAGAGAAAGAAGTTGGTGATATTAATTTTCTCCCTGCAGAAGAAATCAACAAAATTACATATGACGAAATTTTCAAGGAAATTAAATATAAAACAAAAATCAAGAAAAGTCCAGGTTTTGATCTTATCTCAGCAATTATCCTCAAGCAACTTCCTCCTGCGGCAATCAAAAAATTAGAAGCAGTCTTTAATGCAGCATTGTCATTGAAATACATCCCTAGTCAATGGAAATTGGCTGAGGTGATTGTTATTTTAAAATCCGGAAAACCTCCTTCAGCCCCTAGTTCGTACCGCCCTATCTCCTTACTTCTCCTGATAGGCAAACTTTTCGAGAAGTTATATATTAAACGTTTACTGACAATTGTAAATAAGAAAAAGTTACTTCCTAATGAGCAGTTGGGTTTCAGGGCTAAACATAGCACAATAGAACAATTACACCAGATCTCTTCTTATATTGAAAAGGCGCTAGGGGAGAAACAGTTTTGTAAAGTAGTTTTTTAGGATGTCGCCCAGGCATTTGACAAAGTCTGGCATTCTAAAGTGGCTTTTAAACTTTCTAAAATCTTGCCTGAGACCCACGTGCAATTAATAATGTCTTACTTAGCAGATAGATCTTTTAGGGTTCGATTTGAAGACTCTCACTCTGAATTTAGGAAAATGAGAGCAGGGGTACCTCAAGGTTCAGTACTCTCCCCCCTAATCTTTAGTCTCTTTACCGCTGACGTACCTAAACCTAAAAAAGGGAAAATCGGGATCTTTGCTGACGACACGGCCGTTGCGTCCTCTGCGCCCACATATGAGGAGACAGTCACTAACATCCAAGAGTGTCTGGACGACATCCAGGATTGGACTGAGCTCGATCGCACGGCGCTTAACGCCACCAAATCAGTTAACGTGGTCTTTACCTTAAGACCATATGTTTATGTCCCTGTGATCCTAAATAAAATTGCTATTCCCCATGCACAAAAGGCTCCTTACCTCGGCCTCACTATGGACTGTAAGTTAAAATGGAAGGAGCATATTCTAAATAAGAAAAAGCAAATTGACTTAAAGCACAGACAGATGCTATGACTTCTTGGGAAGCGATCTAAATTAAAGCTAAAAAATAAAATTTTACTTTATAAATCAATGTTAAGGCCAATCTGGGTATACGGCTGCCAGATTTGGGCGTGTGCGGCCAGTTCTAATCTCAAAATTATTGAGACAATTCAAAATAAAATACTCAGACGAATGGCAGGGGCCAGGTGGTACGAGCGTAACATCGATATTAGGGATGAGCTCGGGATCGAAGAAATGGACATGTACATCTCAAGTATGTACAATAGATATGAAGAGAGACTGGGCGGTCACTCCAATCCCGAAGCAATAACGCTTTTGGATTGGGGCTCCGAGACCCGGAGGTTAAAAAGACGCAAACCACATGAGTTGAGCTCAGCTCATTTCCGTCGGTGTTAGGCTCGTGCCTCTGGCCCCTACCAGTCTTAGTTGACTGACAGGGCGAAAGCATAGTTAGTAGGAAAATTCTCTAGAATCTAGTTCTAAGAATAATTATAGTTAATATTAGTTAGTTTTTCTCCCGCTTTTTACAGGATTTTACTTCTATCTCATTTGTTCATCCTTCATTATCATTCTCATTAGTTTAATCCATAAAGCGGTGTTTATTTCTATTTTATTATATTAGGCTTAAAGGAAAATTTGTAGACTCGTAAGGCCTAGTAATATAAGTTGTAATTCAATATGTGTAATTACAAAAATAAATAAATAAATAAAAAAAAAAAAAAACAATCAGGCTGCAGATTTGTTTTACTTGTACCAATTACCCCCTGGATACTGGGTTTCAAATATATCAATCTACATACAGACTATGTCAATTTACCGCCATTTTGAAAAAAATTAGGATGGCTACCTACAGCTGGGGCGAGAAATTTTCCTTAATCGTCCTCTTCCTAATGAGGTATCACATGCGAGGGGGGGGGGTCTGCAATTTGAAACAAAAGGTGGGAGCCCCCCCCCCCTCCCTTAAGAGAGTGACCAGTAAAAATTTTGGATACACCCAAAAGTAGTCCTCTATGATCTAGAAACATCCCCAAAATTTCATTTCAAAAGCTCAATTCTGATCAATTTTAAAAGAGGAAGTTCAGACTTTTGGGACACCCTTTATACAGACAAGACTTACATTGTTGTATTCAGAGATGAATGATTATCGTCTGTACCGTATTTATTGTTTATAGATCTTATGCTTAGTAGGTGACGTACTGTCATGATTTTTTTCAGTTTCACTTGTTTAGGAAGATGCGACTCCTACACATTGTTCATGATCTGACATCTCAAAGACTTGGGATAAGCATCAAAGTCAAAAATTCTCAACATTGGTCTATCCTATCCTGATATCTCCCGCTTCATTCTACCCTCTCTCCCTTCATTTTAATGGCAGCGCTTGTTTAAAATTTTTAGTGTACTGATCGACTCAACATCAAATCTCAACTTGAACCAGTGTGCTGATATTTGTTTAAAGATCTTAAGTTGAACTGATAACAGACTGATACAATGGCTACATCATTTGATGTTCATTCCCGTTCAATTATTCCAATGTGAACAGTCACAATACTGTGTCACATTCCCAGAAAGATGGTGGGATGCCATTAAGTACTTCTTGATATCACAATTTCTCATACGTATTGAGTCTTCAATTCATTAATGACTTGTTGATGACAAAAATCATTATAACAAAATTTCAAATTGATCAATAATTTATTACTGACAAAATTATGATAAACAAACAAAAACTTCACACAAAATTTGGGCTTGACGTTTAAACTTAGAACTGACGTAGAGGTCAAAATGCTTTTTTTAAACCACGGGTGCAAGGTTTTAGTTGTGACCATAATGAGCCAAAGGGACTCTTTAACATCCCTGATGAACATGCTTGAAGGTTCTTCTGCTCTTCTGACATGTTTATTTAAAAACAGAGCATTGGATGCCAGAAACCCGCACTTCCTGCACTTTTTGCCAAAATAGTGTACTTTAGACCACGATTAGACACAGAAGCGGGGAAAAAATTGCCGAAGACTCATCGCTTTCGATATGTATAGATCCCGAGAGAGTAAAAGATCCTAGAACTACAGGAATCCAGCTTGGGGCCCAAGAAAGCCACTCATCGACATCCCTCCCTAAAAAACCATTTCACAAACTTGGCAGGAAAATCCTGTTTAGTGCATCAACTGATTCATTTAAATTTTAGAGGCCTATAATTAATTTTTGGGGCCAATTTTATTACATTAGCATGAATATGACTTCAACCTCATTAGAAAACTGGCATGTTCCTATTAAAAAAGCGGGATCACACAAAGTTTTTAATAAACTTACTCCCTTTTGGTTTTTTCTTTAAACTTAAATACACAAATCCCAGATCTCATGTGCAGTATTAGACAGGATCAATATACATGCTGACTTACGCATTCCTGAAAACCATGCTTTATTGACAGCAAAGAATGCGACTGTCCTTAGCTCCGCTTTCTTCATTCCATTGTTTTAGGAAGGAGGTGGTGGTGGGGGTGCACTCAGTAGATTCGCAATAGGTGGAGGTGGCTGAACAGGTTGTGGGGGTGGAACCATGTAGCCTCCACCCTGGCTCCACATCATGGGCTGATTTTGCATTCGTGGAGGCTGTGGCTGTTGCCAAGGAGGAATATTAGGGCTATTACCAGGAGGCATGGGGGGCGGCTGATTCATGCCTCCAGGTGCCATCCAAGGCATCATGGGAGGTACATTTGTGTTTGGGGGTTGACCTCCTACTGGAGGTGGAGCAGGAGGCGGGGGTTGCATCAAAGGCGTTGGAGGCGGAGCCTGCCACGGCGGGGGAATGCTCAGCGGTTGCGATGGGATTGGGGGAGGAACACTCAAGTTAGGTGTAGCAGGAGCAGAGGTCGATGGGGGCTTTGGTGGGTTGCTAGTCCAAGGTGGTGGAGGAGGCAGAGAGCTTGTGATTAGCGGTCCAGGTGGCGGGGCAGATGTAGAAAGCGAGGGGGGTTGTGCAGGCAATAATGGACGTGGTGCCATCTGATGGTCAAATAGATTGGTCGATGCTCGGCGTAAACCATCGTTAGTGGAGTCTTTACTTCGATCTGGTGGAGGACCTTCTCCAAGTTCAGCCATTAAAGAGAGGTACTGAAAAATAAGGAGAGGAGGGAAAGAATTAGACTAAAAACATTAACGAAATTTCAAACTGAATTATGGTAATGTAAATTCAAAAGAAACAAATTGCCTTATGGACAAAAAGGTTGGACAAATAATAAATTTACACCATTAATGTATTCTTGTAGTCCGTTGATGACCTAAAAATGGCAAAAACCCTGCACTTTTTGATTGGAATATGCCGCTTTCAGGGCTCATTGGTGGTACCCTCAGGAATAATTCTGGAAGGGGCAACACTCTGAGACCCGCAACTGGAGCAAGATGGCGGCCGTTAAAGTTCGCCATTTTGGTTTTTTTCAAAGCACTGTCCTTCGGTTGCTATCGATCCGATTTTGATCAACTTTTTTTTAGAAGACAGGGAATTTCCAGGACAACAATTTTACTTCTCGTCCATTTTCCTGTTGGACTAGAATTTTTTTCTAAATTGGGAAAAACTGAAATTTTTCAAATTCTTGGAATTTTTAAGGTCAAATAACTTTTTCACAGGCGACAAAATGACCACTTTGTCTTCTCTGACGGAGACGTAAAATTGTCTGACCTTTAATTTGATACCAAAAAATTTTTCTTGCGATAATAAATAAGCTCGTGAGAGCAATTTAAGTGTTGCGCGCTCCGCGCCGCGGGACCCGTTTCCACGTCCTAGACGGTTGTAGCGACCCTTCAATGCGCTGTATCTCGGTTGCTGTGCGATCGATTTTAATACAATTTTATTATAAGCACATGTATTCATGAAGAATCAGCTCTTTGGACAATTTTGGCTTCAACGTGATATTTTTCCAAAATTTTCGAGAAAAACGAAAATTTTTGAAAACTTTGTGGTCAGATAGTGCCTAACGGGCGACTAAATATGAGTGTTTCGTTATTAAAAGTAGACGTAGGCTTGATTTAGGTGTAATTTGATACCAAAACCAAATTCGTGCGATGAAAAACAAACCCACAAGAGCAAATTAAGTGAAACGCGGCAGTGCGCGTCACACGGTGCGTGATCTGTGTGGGGCCGTTGACGCTCTTCACTGCCGTGTAACTCGGTCGTTACTAGATCCGTTAAGATCATTTCTTCCTAAGAAGCTTGAAGAAACTGAAATCAAAGCATTGCCTTATTGGATGAATCTGGTAAAGTACATCTAAGTCGTTTAATTTGATACCAATATCATCCCTGCGTGACCAAAATTAGACCCGTGACAGCAATTTCATTTCACTCATAAAGATCATTGCATTACTATGGAATGTCACAGTGGAACAAAAAAATGACACAAATATCAGCAAGACGAAATAAGATGATTTTGAAGCACTGAATTCGAAAATGACCTCGATTTTTTCCCATCACCCTGAATTTTTCCGGAAAAGCCAATTTTTCCGGGAAATGTGCACGTTTTGGCATTTTTGATACTGTTACCACCGGCAAAATGTGAATGTTAAATTTTTCACAAGTACAAAATACGTCCCTTCTGCTGTACTTTGAGCTGCTGAGTTCAATAATACCATCTACAATTTTGCCCATCACCTATCAGTTTTCCAGAAGAGCCACTTCTTCGCGGAAAAACGCGTAAATGTAACGTATTTTTGTCATTCTTGGAATTTGCTTTTTCAATGCATTTTTCTGGACCCTTGGAAGTGTGATTTTCCTCTATTTCGAGCTTTCAAATCCGCATACAACCTCCAATTTGTTTTATCACCTTCCAGTTTTCCAGTAAAGCCAATTTTTCCGGGTCTAAATCTATGCAGAAGCTTCCCCAAACTCTTCTTGATTTGAAGATAAATTTTAAACATATCTCCACTATGTAATTCTTGCATATGTTTGAACTGCTGCACCCGAATATGATCTGAGATTTTTTTCTTTTGCACACCCATTCCCTGAAAAGTCAATTTCCATGGAAAGCTTTTTTGTTATTTTTTCGACGACTCTCCTGTTCTAAAGAGTACTACTTATATTTTCGTAACAAATAGGTCGAGGCCTTTCAATCACCTAGGATAATCTGCTTTACGTTTCCCACAAAACTGTATCATTACAGCATACCAAATAATAACTACAGAAGAATCAGGCTTCCAAGGGTACAGAAAAATGCATTGAAAAAACAAATTGCAAGAATGACAAAAATACGTCAAATTTACGCCTATTTCCACGAAATAGTGGCTCCTTTTGAAAACTGAGAGGTGATGGGCAAAATTGTAGAGGGTATTGATGAACTCAGCAGCTCAAAGTACATCGGAAGGGACATATTTTGTACTTGCAAAATAGGAGGAGTATCGTTTTGGGCCTTTTCCTACCCCACCTGGATTTTGTTGAAAGTTTTATATTTTCAAAGTACTAGTCTAAGCGCGCAGGACGGAAAGCAGCTCCGGGTTGTGAAGCCAGAGATGGAAGCTCATCCGAGCGCTTGAGTTAGCTGGACCAGGCGATGGTCGCCTGATGGGCGGGCAATCCGCGACAGTGGGCGCGGCGTCTTCAGGTTGTGCGCTTGAAGCGCGGTGAAGACCCCCAAGGGGTACCCCCAGGGCTTGCCTAAGCGAATCGCTCCGGCGGATATCGCTACGAGGCGCTTACAGGTTGCTTCGTGCAGTGCTGAAAGCTGCCAAGCACGGGAGCCACTGTGCAGTCAACAGCGTTGCGGCTGGACTGTGAAGCAGCAGGATGCAACCGGGAGCCCTGCGCTGTGTAGCTGAACAGCTAAGTGCCTTACAAGGCTTGGTCCAAGATGCGGATACCGCATCTGGTGGGATGGTGATGACCGGTTGTTTCTTCGTGAAGACCTGAGAAGGAACAACGTGAAAATCCGCGTAACGGAAGCCGCAATGCGGGGGTACACTTACCGAGGTGCTCAGTCTCAGTAGACGGAGTGTACGGTGATTCACAGTTTTCATGGGCCGCGCCGCTGGGATACCGTCTAAATCAGACGACGGGAAAGAGCGGCGGAACGTCTAAAGCTAGGTGCGTCAACGCGATCTAGCGGACAGTGGCGTCGCGACGCCGTGAGGTAGGGCGCGCAGGTCGCGGGGGAGTGCGGCCGCGAGAAGAGGAGTGCGGCGGCGGGGAAGGGAAGCGCGGGTCGCGGGGTAGAGAGCGACCGCGGCGCGTTGCCGGCCGGCGGTGACATCGGCGCTGGCTGCACCCATGTTCACGGCGTAAACATAGTCAAAGGTCAAGGTAGATTAACACAGGTATGGACAAGTTGAAAATCCGGCCTGCGATTGGCTCTCTACAGGCCCCTTGACGACCGCCATTTTAATGCTTTCATTATTGTGATTGGTTGGTGATTCATTGGTTATGTTTCTCCAATTACGTAATAATTCGTTATTTAAGTTTTGGAGACAATTTAATTGTTCCCGAGGATCTTATTACCTACCAGTTAATGCGTGATAGTGTTTTGATGTTTAAACGGAGCAATGCATTCAATGAAGTTGAGAATAGCGCGGTCAAACGGGCCCCTTAACCTACGTCACGAAATCATGTGACAGCTCATGGGAAATTTTCAACTTGTCCATACCTGTGTAAATCTACCTTGGTCGAAGGTAGACTCTATGCCAAATATTTTATCGAACAGAGCACATGCAAAGGCGCAGCAGCGCCTCAAACCCAAAATCCTGGAATCAAAAAATCGTTATTTTCGTTGACTTTTTCGACTATTTTCACTCTTTCAGCAGATGGTTCAAATGAATTTTTTTACGTGTTTTCCATTTCCGGCCTTTAAAAAGGCCTCCGATCAATTTAACGGGGCCTTACAGTCCATTGTTGCCATTTTTTGCCCATTTTTAGGGTTTTTTTCAATTTTACATACTTATAACTCAGTTTAAACCAAGAACCGTGTACGTTTCTGAAAAGTACGTAAAAAAATGAATAACACATGTACAGTGGACTTTTTTCTAGGTTGCCAAATTTTCGAAAAGAATTGTTCTAAAGAGCCAAAAATGGCAGAAATTCAATAAATTGCCATGCCTACGGTTCAAGAAAGTAGGATACAACATTTTTTATTGACGTACGTAACAGCTCTTACCGATATATACAACATATCAAAAAATTATAGTTGTACCTGGATTCCCACGATGTGAAAATTGACCGGGAAGTCGATTTTAGCGGCCGTTTTTTACTTGAGGGTAGCTCTCTTGAATGTTTTTCGACCTTAGTCATCCTCCGAAGGGGAGTAAAATCCGTATTTTTCTACGTACTTTTCATATCTGGCCATGAAAATGGCTTCCCATGAATTTTAAAAGGCCTAACGGTCCATTGTTGCCAATTTGTACAAATTTTTGGGGATTTTTCAAGTTCACATGTGTAAAACTTAATTTAATCCATTAACCGTGTACATTTTTGGAAAGAACGTATAAAAATACATACTTAATGTGATCTGTAACTTTTCTCTATGTTGCCAAATTTTCCAAGAAAAATCATCCTGAAGAGCCAAAAATGACAAAAATCGGATTAATCATCACGTCGAAGGTTCTAGGAAGTGAATTTTAAGTTTTCATTCACTACAAATAATGTATCCAATACGGAAAATTGCAATATGTCTCACCGAACATGTAATGGTTCGGATGGACGTGACATAACAGACCCTCATGGTGCTTTTAACTCATCCTTCACTCCATTTCACCACTTTATTCCTGTAACTTCGAGATAGTTCTTGGTTCTCAAGATGCCTGCAACAGGCCAAATACCAAACAACACAAACTGCGTGGGGAAAGTATCGTACAATCCACATGAATGTCATAATTCACTTCCTAGAACCTTTGACGTGATGATTAATGCAATTTTAGTCATTCTTGGCACTTCAGGACGATTTTTCTCGAAAATTTGGCAACATAGGGAAAAGTTACAGATCACATTATGTATGTATTCTTTTACGTTTTTTCCAAAAATGTACACAGTTCTTAGATTAATTAAGTTCTACACATGTTAACTTGAAAAAACCCCAAAAATTTGTACAAATTCGCAACAATGGACCGTTAGGCCTTCTAAAATTCATGGGAAGCCATTTTTATGGCCAGATATGAAAAGTACAGAGAAAAATACATATGTTACTCACCTTTGGAGGGTGACTAAGGTCGAAAAACATTCAAAAGAGTTACCTTCAAGTAAAAAACGGCCGCTAAAATCGACATCCCAGTCAATTTTCACATCGTGGGAATCCAGGTACAACTATAATTTTTTGATATGTTGTATATATCGGTGAGAGCTGTTACGTACGTCAATTAAAAATGTTGTATCCTACTTTCTTGAACCGTAGGCATGGCAATTTATTGAATTTCTGCCATTTTTGGCTCTTTAGAACAATTCTTTTCGAAAATTTGGCAACCTAGAAAAAAGTCCACTGTACATGTGTTATTCATTCTTTTACGTACTTTTCAGAAACGTACACGGTTCTTGGTTTAAACTGAGTTATAAGTATGTAAAATTGAAAAAAACCCTAAAAATGGGCAAAAAATGGCAACAATGGACTGTAAGGCCCCGATAAATTGATCGGAGGCCTTTTTAAAGGCCGGAAATGGAAAACACGTAAAAAAATTCATTTGAACCATCTGCTGAAAGAGTGAAAATAGTCGAAAAAGTCAACGAAAATAACGATTTTTCGATTCCAGGATTTTGGGTTTGAGGCGCTGCTGTGCCTTTGCATGTGCTCTGTTCGGTAAAATATTTGGCACAGAGTCTACCTTCGACTAGTACTTTGAAAATATTAAACTTTCAGCTAAATCCAGGTGGGGCTGGAAAAGGCCCAAAGCAATACTCCTCCTTTAACGTTCACATTTTGCCGGTGGTGACAGTATCAAAAATGCCAAAAAATGCACATGTCCCGGGAAAATTGGCTTTTCCGGAAAAAATCGAGGTCATTTCCGAATTAAGCGCCTCAGGATAAAAAAGGATCATCTTATCTCGTCTTGCGGATATTTGTGTCATTTTTTTTTTGTTCCACTTTGATATTCCATAGTAATGCAGTGAACTTTATGAGTGAAATGAAATTGCTGTCACAGGTTTAATTTTAGTTGCGCAGGGATAAGGTTGGTATCAAATTAAGCGACTTAGATGTACTATACCAGATCCGTCAAATGAGGCTTTGTTTTATTTTTACTCAAATTTTTTTTTTGAGTACCTACAGATGAACCAGGTTTGGGCTGTGGCGGAAAGATTTCATAGCAGTTTTGGGATTTTGTTAAATGAACGAAAGGGCTATGAAATCTCTCAAACCAAAGCTCTGATCGGGTTCCAGCGAAAAATGTAGCCGCTTCATTTATTCTTCTTTAATCCTCAATCGACATAATATTTTAGCAAGTTTTTTTTAATGCTAGCTCGCTTTTATTCATTTTTTTTTAAGCCTATCATTATTTCACTGTTTCTTTTTTACGACTAAACGATGCAGTTTGTTGCGCAGGGGCCCTGGCTTTGAAAGGGACGGTCAAATAATTTTTTTGAGGTGTTTTTTCGAGGGCGAGAGAGTGTCATGGAATGATGCCATATCACCTGCGGTTCTATGTCCACATTCCATGATGCTTCTATCTTCTCGAGTCCAAGGCTATTGTTTTCGCAAGTGAGAGTTCAGGCATGCATGTTGACATCTAGAGCATCTTCTTTGTAGCCCCGGTCATCTTACTGACATCTCCGACGTCATAGCTCGGTCAGACGTTACCAGATATATGAATGGATCTCAGCTAATGGGATAAAATATGGGAAAGATGTGTAACTGGTTGCTCAAACTTTCAATTATAATATTTTAACTCGATGTTTGGTTTTTTGCGTAGAAGCAGGTCACACCAACCACAAAAAAATTCCTCAGGAGTTTGGAATAACTCTAAACCTTTTTTTCAACGTACTAAACAGTGAAAATGTCAGTTTGGTGACGTGTAACTCGGGGGTAGTCAGAATATCAAATCGTTATAAAAATAAACTAGGACCTTTTGCGAGCTTTGTCTAATTTTTTTTTTAAGTCTCAAATGTATATTGCCTGATATAATATGCATTGAAACAGCAGAAAACTGTATTATTCAATTTAATTTGAGATTTGAAGCCTGTAACTCAATATTATGTCAGTTTGGTGACGCTATGCGTTTAAGTTTGTGGCCACTCAAGAGATAGCGCTTGTGTGCGGATTAAGGCATGACTGAGTGCATGACTTATTCAATGTCAATGTCAGTTTGGTGACGCTGTTTTCCATCAAAACTTTTGGAGGAATATGCAAGGAATATGTGAGCAAATATTTTTTTCATACATTCACAGGTGGCCTCTCGACCTATCCTCAATGATTCGTTTGATTTTGTTACTGTAAAATGGCAGGAAAAATTAATAACAGCAAAATGTCAGGTTTGGTGACATCACCAAACCTGACATGTCCAAAACAAACTGACATGTTAGGCTTGGGTAAGAAAAATAATCCTATAGATATTGCGATGCACATAATTAAATGCTACAGTATAGAGCTCTAAGATAACAGAAAAGTAGTCTTTAGCTTGATATGGCCAAATCACTTATCAAATTTTTTTCAGGACCATTTTCTCCCCTTAGCTGAAATCCACCCATATACTCTAGATATCCGCGGCGCGCGGTCGTATCATCGGGCCGCGATTAGAGGATCACTTTAGCCAAGGGTACCTAGTGTCTATCGTGTCATTATCGATTATATTGATCAGCTCTACCATTTGATTACGTGCGTTGGATATTTTCATCCCCCCCATTACAATATTACGTAGTATCCTTATGAGCAGGGGTTGGATGGAATGACTCCTCTAACGAAATGTTCATCTGTGCCATGGTATCGTTGTGGAGGCGGGAAGCTCGAAAAAACGCTAATTTCTTGTGCAAATTGTGAAGTAAGGAGTGCATTTCAGACTTGATCAATGCACTCATCATGATTATTGAGCCATTTTCTATAAGAAACAACTGTTATTTTTGTTCTAGCAAAAGTTTGCAACAGGCAAAAATCATTGTTCTACTTAAATTGAATCTTCAGCGATGCGTAATGAGTAATTAGTCCATGCAGAAAGTATCACTGCTGTATGTTGATTTTAGGTTTACGCCATCGGAGTCCGTACAGCTCTGTCTGTGAGTTGTTATGAAAATTAAAGGAATTTCTGTTAAAATGGAAGAGTCGAGTTATGGTACGTAATTGATTTCCTATTTTGATTTTTGTCTGTCTTGTGTTTCGTACCAGGTAGGCACCGATCTCAGCCTTTGATGAAGACCCCTTTGAAGATCTGGCAAGTTTGCCCCATCCATCAATAATAGATAAGGGGCAACTGATTTCACTGCATGCTCATGGGAGCATACAATGTTTCTGCTGTGATGAAAATTTCATGAATTTCTACTGATTCGTTCTCAACAATTTGTCTTCCACGCAATTTTTTGCGGAGGGTTATTAAAAAAAAAAAAAAAAAAAAAAAAAAAAAAAAACACCATAGTATAGGGGCTATAATTACCTCTTCGTCTATTTTCTTCTTATCCTCAACTATGTCTGGAATGCCTCCCTTCTTTGCTCGACAATCTTTCGCTATGTGACCAGCACCTCCACAAGTTGTACACACAATATTGTTGGTGATGTTTGGTTTGTCTGGGCACTGAAAGAAAAAAAAATACATACATCACAAATCAAAACTTTTTAGGCTGCAAAGGCTTTTAAGCGAGGTTTAATTGAATATATATATATATATATATATATATATATATATATATATATATATATATATATATGAGTCGCTTTTATAGCGCTCTTTGGCGCTGTGCGACGCCTAATCGCCACAAAGCTCGGTCTTCCCACAGGTCATCAGGGAGTTGACAATCTCTTATCTCATTTAACACCCCCTGTCGCCAACCTCTCACTGGGCGTCCCCTACGTCTCCTCCCAGGAGGAACCCAATCAAGCATCTTTTTTGGCAGCCTCTCTTCCGTCATCCTATTGACATGACCATACCAAACAAGTTGTTTGGTCATGACGTCGAACACGATGTCATTTTCGACTTCCATTATCTGACGCACTCTATCATTACGGACCCGATCTCTCCTAGAAATTCCTGCTGACCTTCTCCAGAAATCCATCTCCGTTGCTCTTAGCATATCCTGTGTCCGTTTCTTCAGCTGCCAAACTTCACATCCGTATGTTAATATACTTTTGACTACAGCGTTGTATATCCTCCTCTTGTTATCTTTGGAAATCCGCTGATCTCAGAGGATTCCATTTAACATCGCTATAGCCTTCCTTGCTAAGGTGTTCCTTTCCCTGATAGCTTGATCCGTCCTTCCATCCTGGGTCAACCGCACTCCCAAGTACTTAAAGTGCTCGCAGCCTTTGATCTGCTGCCCATCCTCCAACTCAATGCTTTGCTGATCACCGCCAAAAGTCATCTTCTCAGATTTGGATATGCTGACTTCCAGACCCCACTTCCGATACTCTTCTACTAACTTGCGCATCATGTATTCCGCGTCATCTTGATCTTGAGCAACCACCACCTGGTCATCAGCAAAGCACAGAGTAAACAGAGTTTCGAGATCACCCAAGGGGACACCCATACCAGAGCATTTCTTTTTCCATTCTTTTAGCACGCACTCGAGATAAATTTTAAATAATGTTGGCGACAAACAACATCCCTGTTTTAAACCCTTAGTCACATAAAATCCCGCTGACAACCCCCCATGGCACTTAATTTTGGTAAAACTCCCTTTATAAAATCACTAAAGTATCGTAAGTATACCTGGGTCCAGCCAACGCGAGGATTGAAATCCATCATCGATTATGTAATTGTAAAGCACACTACTAAATTGAAATTGCAGCAAGTTAGAGTGTGCAGGGGACTCTCTTGCGGCAGTGATCATCATTTCCTCCGAGCAGACATAGCGTTTCCCGTTAAAGGGATTAAAGATAAAGAGCCAATGCCTGAGCAGCAGCAGAGTCAGGGAAAGCAAAATCATGAAGTATGGTATAACATCGAAAGTTTGGAGCACCCTAGTGTCAAGGCTCTGTATCGGAAATGCTTAGATGAGAAGTTGGGGGATGGACTCTCGGGTACCACGGAAGAGCAATATCAGTTCATCAAAGATTGTATCCACTCTGCAGCGAAAGAAGCCCTAGGTGTTCACAAAACCAGTAATAAATACCAGCATCCTTACTGGTGGGATGAAGAAATTGGAGACGAGATAAATCTTAAGAGGCAAAAACATCTTATATTTCTGTCGTCTAAAAAGGCTGAAGATAAAGTTGCTTACAGGAAAGCTCAGTCTAAAGTTAGGAGCCTCATAATACGGAAGAAGAATGAAGCTTGGGAAAGCAACTGTTCTAGAATTAACACCTACTTAGGGGGGAGAAAAAGTGCTGAGAGCTGGAAGTTAATTAAAGGTTTACGCAGAGACATGAAGCGCGACATCGTTTCTCCGATATCACTTAAAAAACTGGAGGATCATTTTAAAGATCTTTTGACGGAAAGGCGCCCAGAGTTTCGAGACAACAGCACGGACAACGGAAGAATGAACAACTTGGAGATCCACACTTGTGACGTAATTAAAGCGGTTAAAGAGCTAATTAATGACAAAGCACCGGGTCCTGGTGGGATTCCTGTCGAGTTGGTCAAGTATGGGACTGCCAAGCTCTTTGAGTGCCTCAGAAAACTGATGCAACAATGCATCAGGGGTGACGAGGTACCAAGGGAGTGGAAGGAGTCTTGGATCAAGGCCATCTACAAGAAGAAGGGAAGGAAGGACGACTGTAACAACTACCGGGGGCTCTCAGTGACCGGGACAATAAGTAAAGTGTACGGGAAGATACTGAAAGCGAAGATCGAGGACGAATGGCAGGATCACGAAGCAGAGGAGCAGGCTGGTTTTAGAGCTGGCAGGTCTACGATAGATCACCTCTTTGTTATTGTTCAGGTCATTGAGAAGAAAATGGCCGTAGCTTAGGAACTGCATTTAATTTTTGTGGATCTCCAGGAGGCGTATGACAGCGTGCCGTTGGTGAAACTTTGGGAGGCCTTGGAAAAATCGAATTTTAACGGGGGGTTGATTGACGCTGTTAAGCGATTTTATAAAGGGAGTGAAGGTAAAAATTGAAGCGCTAAATGCAGAAAGACAACTTTTCCATTGTGGTATTTCAGAATCTCCTCAAGCAAGCCATCAGTTACGATAAACAAAATTCTGTGAAACTTTTACCAAATGCAAGTATTCTGTAATTTTAAAATGTTCTAAAAAAAATTCCCGACAACGTCACATTAGTTTCTTCTATAAAATTTAAATCAGTCGCTTAGATGATTCTGCAACTCTGGAACTGATAAGTGTCTTACCTGCACCGCAACCACTATCTAAATTCATATAGACCTCCAAAATTTTTCTAGATGCCTCCACAATTTTTTGCAAAGGTGCCCTGCTGGGTTTTTGCAAGAATGCCATCACGTCTTATTGCTAGCTGAAACTTGTAGAAAGTCCTGGAATAACCAATGAGAAAATCTCACCAAATCGTGGATAAGCGTTATTTACTTGGCAAATTCAAATCAGATTAGTGCGTTACAGCAATTACTGGGCAGCATATACATTGAGCAGGTGCAAACCACCTGCTTCATGCGTTTTAAAATTTAAAGTACACACATTATGATGTACTATCACTAATATTGCATAAACTATGATTACTTACAATATGGTTGGCTACCGCCCCCTCATAGGAACAGCTTCCATGGTTGCCTTTGTTAACAAACTTAAAATGACAGCGGCTATCGCCACCCATAATTTTCTCATAACAGTAATTCTTAGATTATGAAATATTTACTTTTTAAATTTTAGAAAACGCATCAAGCAGGTGGTTTGCACCTGTTCAATGTATATGCTGCCCAGTAATTGCTGTAATGCACTAATCTGATTTGAATTTGCCGCGAAAATAATGCTAATCCACGATTTGGTGAGATTTTCTTATTGGTTATTTCAGGACTTTCTACGAGCTCTTTGGTATGAAATTTTCAGTATACTATTGTATGTAGATCAAATAGCTGATTAAAATATAGATAAACGTAAAATAAACTACTCATATATAAATTTTTTCGATTTTGAAGGTTCGAATTTTTTTCGTTTTTCGTCCCTCCTCTCCAGGCGATCATTGCTACGTCAATAAAAACCTGTTGAGGTGATTCTCCATTAAATTCTTCATCGACCATGCCTTGATTGACCTTGGGGAAACGATTCGTTCTTGAGTTGTAGCGATTTTTCTGCGCGTTCCCGGTTAAGCGCATATCGGCGGCGCGGCGCTTCATCCCGCGCGGGCGAGGCAGAGGTTGTTTCACCGTTAGGGCCTTATATTTATACTGTGGGCTGTAATTATCGATATTTTCTCCTCCCCCCACCCTTCCCGTCCAATGAATATTTTTTTATACTTCGTTTGATGGGGTGCACCAGATCAACCGTAGCAGGTCTATTTCTCGGTTGGTTTAGGTAGTAAGAAGTAGGGGAGGGAATCGACCCCAAGGAATCCGAATCGGGGTCCTCGATAGAAGTGTGATTTGATTGCATTCAAATTGGAAAGAACGAAAAATGCCACGTGAAATTGATCCCTAAGTATCTAAAATCGGACCACTTAACGCCCAAAAATGATCTCTTAAAGACGGGGACAGCGGTCCCCTCCATAATTTCCCTTTGGTCGAAAATTGACGTAGATTCTCTGGAAAAAGCTGACTTCCCAGGTAATCGACCCCATAGGAATCCGATTTTCATGATCACATTCTTGACTCTTCAACAAACATCTTAATATCATTCGGAACGTTCCCACGTTTTATATACTTATATTACTTTAAAATTCCGTGTGTTTGTAATGTAACACTATGCAGAAAAATGTATGGATAAGTCTGGTAATCGAAGGAGGATCCTACATCTACTTTCCTTGCCTCCATCTAAAACATACCGATCTCCTTATCTCATCAGTATTGTCAAAGGTAAGTAATTTTTTTTTATCATCTATGATTGATACTATCATTTTGGTGTCTTTAGTGATACATTGAAGGGTGGTATATCAAGAAATAACAACTGATTTCCTACATCCAGGTTTGAGCGTTGGACTGCCAGAGTGTGTTCTGAATTAATAAGTAACAATGTATACTGTTGCAGCTTTTAACATGATCCTGAGACACTAAACAATTGATTTATAAAAAAAAAACTTACCTTCAAATATTGACTAAAAAGTAAAAACTCATGAAAACGGCTAAATATTGAGCTAACTTCCATGTTATCACTATGGCAGATGTAAACAATCGCTCATTGACTACAGTCTTCCTTAAAAATAGGGTTTATCCTGTCGGTTCTTCTTTATCTAATTTAAACGTCCAAGAAATCCATTTCTGAATTCCATTTTGGTCAAACAATCATCGATTGACTCGATATTTGCATTTAAAAAGCGGCTGCTAATTCCTTTTGGGAAAATACATTGTAAGTGATGAAAAGACCAGGTTTGTCACGCGATGTGACGTTACGAGGGTGCTGGATCCGGCCCCGCGTTAAAGTGACCGTTTCGAATGGGTCGGTTCCAAAAACAGCTTTTTCTGAGTTTAAGAGGTCATTTCAAGCTTTTTTAGGAGCGCCATCGTTCCTTTAG